AGTATTTCAGCTCTTCTCCACTTCTGCTGGCAATACTCAGACTAAAGTACGGGGACTGAGGCACACCGTCCAGATCCTAAAATCAGAGTTGTGCCAAAAAACTCACTCCAGAAAAATTATATTTTAAACCAGCATTTTTAATTAAAAATTTAATGCAAAAATGTCCATGATGACCAAAACACCCATTTTAAATAAAGACAGGATCCAACAGGCCAGGATTAGGGCAAGGAGAGAGCCTCACTGACCTTTCCTCATCTCAATTTTCTGACTCCAAAGCTGCTTGCCTCTGTGCTCCCAGGCCTCAAAATCTACTCCAATCATGGATTCAGTGGACTGTAGCCCAGACTGCAAGGAAATGAATATAAATAAGCCTTCTCTCCAAAACCTCTGCCAGTTGAACCAATTTGCTCTCTTTATCATATCCTAAAATCCCATACTTTGGTTATATCATGACAACATGCTCATATCACTAAAAGTTTTTTGACAACATGATCTTTTTTTTTTTTTCTTCTTCTTTTTTGGTACTGGGGAGCAAACTCGAAACCCTTGGCTTGCAAGGCAGGCAGCAGAACCACTGAGCTAAATACCTGGCCCGCCTCACTACAGATTTTTTAAAACATTTTAATTGCTGTCATATGTCATCATCAAGAACATATCTTACTGACATTTTCTGATTTATAAACATAACATTATTTATAATTCTTTGTCTGTCTTCTACTGACATAGAGTCATGTGACCTAAGTGTACTAATCAGACATGGAACTGTACAGTTGCCAGGGCTCTGCCATTGTTAAAATACTGGTTAGTGGGGACACAAAAACAAGTTAGGGTTTCTGCCCATACAGTGTGGGGTAAACAAGTGAGAAACTTGACATATTACAGCTGCAGGGATAGACAGCTACAAGTTTCCTATTTATAGCCTGGAGCAAGGAGAAATGTCATGTGACATAAATATGCCGAGAAGTGGGAACAGAATAGCCCAAAGTACTTAGCCTGGGTGATTCATCCTATAGTCTCAGGATTCTCCAAACAAGACTAAATGATTTATTTAGTGTTATAGTGTCCTTTGGAGAGCAAAAGGTTTAAGTTTTTATCATGTCCAGTACAGTTCTTCTTTTCCAGTTTGTGGGGTTGTTTTTTGCTTCCTGTATAAGAAAACATTGCTTAACACAAAGTCACTATTTTCTGTTTTCTTCTAGCTTATGGTTTGGGTCCTTACATATAAATCTATGCTCATTTTAAGGTTGTTGGTTTGTTTTTTTATTTGTATGACGGATGAGGTAAAGGTCAAAATTAATATTTTATATGTAGATATTCTCTTATCCCAGCACCATTTATTGGAAATATTATCATTTTCCTCCATTGAGTTGTCTTGAAAATTTTGTAAATTTTGGCCAGTTAGGATTGATTATCTTTCTGAAATCCTTTTTTTTTTTGTCTTTTAGACTTGATTACTGTGACTTAATACGTCTTCAAGTCAAGTACTAAAATTAGTCCTCTTATTTCTTCTGTTTCCTGCTTTGTCTTCTCAAATCTTTTGCATTTCCACTTCTTTTAGAATCCTGTCTGTCATCAATTCCTACAGAAAAGCTAAGATTTTGATTGCAATGGCAATGAATAACAAATCAACCTTGAGAGAATGGACTTTTTCTTTTTTTGTACCAGGGATCAAACTCAGGACCTTGTGCTTGTGAGGCAGGCACTGAGCTACATCCCTGGCCCGAGAACGCGTGTTTTAAATGATTAACCAGTCCATGAGCATATTATAGCTCTCCCATTTATTTGAGGTTTCTCTCCACAATATTTTGTACTTTTCCATAGACTTTTTGCTAGAACCTCCTGCGTTCTGAATCTATTGGTTCCCTCCAGTCTCAGTCTTGCCAGATCAGTATAGCACCCAATACTGTAATCCACAGCCTCTTTCTTCAACCTCTTTTTTCTGGACTCTCTGTCTTCATCCCTTCATCATCCTTCTACCCTTAAAACTGTCTCACCCTGAGTACTTTAACTATTTCACCTGATCACTGGAGAAACAACTAAAGCTGATCATTGAAACTCTAGGTACCTGCAGTTCATCATCAGCTTTGTTGGCGTGTTCTAAAAGGAAATTTTCTTGGATCTTTCAGAAAAGAATCTGCCTTCTGGCCAGCACTTTTGGGGTAATGATATTAAAAGTGGCCTCAAAAGATAGACTGTTCGCCAAAGCCAAGCATGGGGCACACAACTGTAATCTTATTGGCTTGGGAGGATGAACCAAGTTTGAGCCTATGCTGGGTGAGACACAGCATATCGAGAACTCATCTCAAAATTACAAAAATAAAAAATAAATAGCTATGTATATAGCTCAGTGCTCCAAGTTCAATCCCCAGTGTCACTATATTGCTAAGAACGATGGGATACACATATTTGAAATAAAGGAGAATATTTTAAGGAGTATTAATGGCAACGTGTCTTTTACTGTAATAAATTTAAAATTTTAAACTTTGTGTATTTTTCTATCACACCTTGTGGATCAACTGTTTATGGCAATTTCTATCAAATAAAAATATTAGTGTGTCCTCATCTGCCCTATTCATTAGATCTGGCTCCTTGTGACTTCTGGCTCTTCCCCAAAGAAAAGAAAATGTTTTGAATCAATTTAGGACATTGAGGCAGCCACCTCAAAGCAACTAAAGACTTTCACAAAGGAGAACTTCCATAACTGCTTCAGAACATGGCAAATACGATGAAATAAGTGTGTTTGAAGCCAAAGGGGGTGGTATTTCGAGAAGGATTAACAGCGGTGCATCTCTTACTGCAATCAATTTTTAAAATTTTAAACATCATATTTTTTTTAATTGCACCTCATTTTGGGTGTTTGCATGTGCATGTGCGTACTATTCTTAGAGTAGGTGCAGCAGAGGTTAGGGGAAATTGCCATGTTGAAAAATCCAGCACTCTTCCAGGTTTTCCTACTCACTATCTCAGCCACCTGAAGTCTCCATGGTTTCCTTTTGAGTCACTTTCTTTTTTTCAATCATGACCACTTAAGAAATTATTGTGGTAAGGGCCTGGGATTTAGCTCAGCATAAGTTCAATCCCCAGTACCAACAAATAAATAAATATTGCGGTAAAAATGAAATGCATATAACAAAAATTAACCATTCTGAATGAACAGCTAAGTGGAATTTATAATAAATTCACATTATTGTAAAACCCACTTCCTCTAATTCCAAAGTATTACAGTCTCTCTCCAAAATAAAACCCCATTCCTATTAAGCAATCTGTCCTTACCTCCTCTACCCATAGCATCCACCGATCTGTGTTATGTTTCTATGGATTTATCTATTCTAGATATTTTAAATAAATGGAATCATAGCTACGTGACCTTTTGCATCTGGTCCTTTTACTTAGCATATTTTGGCGGTACTTGAGTCATTTTTCAACTGCTCTGCTTTGTTAAACTGTTCTTTATCATTTAATGGGAAAGCCCAGTTACTCAACCCAATGAAAATGTTGGATGAAGGGTTGTGTAAACAGCACTGGTGTCTTAAGAATGTTGTGAGTGCTGTTTGGCTGTTGATTCTCCTAACGTTGGCAAAATTACACTAAAAATAGGACACTTCATCAAGTAAAAAACTGTAAGAATCCCAAACTAAATTCCTCATTAGCAAGATGCAAACAGCTGTGATCCCAACACTTGGAAGGTTGAGGTGGGAGGATGGTTCAGTTCGAGGCCGCTGTGGCTACACAGTGGAGACCCTGTCTCAAAACAAAATTAAGCAAGCATACAAAAGCAAAAACTCAATATGCTATTAGACTGAAGAAAAAGGCAAAAGCGAAAACAACTGACCAGACTAGCCATGGAGACTCTCAGAGGTGGGTAACAGGAAGTGGAAATTGCACCCTCCCACCAATGTCCCCAAGAAATCTGGCTGAAAGAGTCCAGTCCAGCCATACTGCAGTGATCAGGCAAAGGGAAGACATGTGAATGCGGCACTTAAGACCAGAAAGACAGGCCAGACTCTCACTCCTACCCTAAAACCTCCTGTCTTTAATTTAGTCCTCTCGAAGAATGACGGATCTTAACAGAGGTGATATTTTTAAATAAGGAGAACTGAAAAATCCCATAGCAACATTGAAACTCACAAACAAAACAATACTAACAATAGTTTATCTTCACAGGAGGATTCTATACCACCCAAGGGAGTGATATCTTCATCGTACCCCTTTCTCTTTCCCTCCATTTGTATCTTAACTGCTCTTCTCCCTTTGTGTCTGATTAACTGTGTAGTTAGAAACGCCCTGAAGGAAGATCCTAGTTTCAGCTCGCCTTTGCGAGCCACGCAAACGCGGACACATAACTCCGGAGCCCGTCACCTCATCTGTGAAACAAGAGAGGATCACAGCCTATTTGAGATTTATGGCGCTCAAAATTCAGTGACATCAAAGTTAAGTGACATCTGTCATTCTGCGCTGTCGGGACGGTATTTCGGCGCCATACCCGCCCCAGTGAGCAGCCACTTTCTTCTTTGCCTCCCGCATTGAGTTGTGAGCACCTAAAGACTTGTTCTGTCTTGAATCTTTGTCAACCCCAGTCCTGTCACACCGTGGAGAGTTAGCAGTACGATTCCACGTCGCACGCCCAGGACAAGAAGCGCGGTTGGAGTTTGAATCCTACAATCCAAGCCCAACTGAACTCCGCAGACGCCAGATCCGCCCCTTGCAACCGCAGCCTAGGCTCCGCCCCCCTGGGCCCATTGGCCCATTCAATTCACGCCAGCACCAATAGGCTGCCGCGATGGGAAAAGCCAGAGCCCGCGGCGGCGTGCGCAGTGTGGCCCTGGCGGCCTAAGAGAGTCCGAGTCCTTCCAGGGAACCCAGGCTGCAGTCGATTATGAGCACCACGGCCGTGCCCCAGAATCTGCAGCTGCCTCCGAGTCAGAGAGCCCAGTCTTCGTTCAAAGGTGAGGGTGGCGGCGGAAGCGGCGCGAGCAGGTGAAAGGCTGGTTTGCTGAAATAAAGCATGTGGGAGCGGGTCGGGTGATCAGAACCCTCGGCCCTGAGGCTGAACGTCTCCTCGGCCTAAGGTAGGGAAGTAGCGGCACGACTGAGCTCCAGCCGAGGAATCGTTTACCTGGGGATGTGTGTGAACGCCGGGGGCGGGGCTGCGGCGCGCCGAGACTGACTGCGCCTGCGTGGGTCCCATCTCCCCCCCGCCCCTCCCCCGCTAGTTTCTGGAGGGGTGCGGTTACCTGGCTCGGTGTCTCCAATTTCGTCCTCCAGTTTTTGGATGTCTAAAGTTGGATATTCTACTTTTTTTTTGTCTACCCATGAGAATACAGAAGAAAAATGTTCGCCCAACCCAATTCTAGTAAATTAGATCTTGGAGACTAGTATCTCATCCTTACCATTTAGTTTCTTAACTCTTGCCTTTTTGTAACAATGTATTGAAAATGATGTTCTTCGCATTTTTAACACACAGTAGACAATGATTTTTTTCTTTTTTCGTTGTTGAGAATGTTTCTCATGAAGACTGACTGTGGGTGCCATTTATGGTAACAATCTCTTATTAATGGGATTATTTCTTAAATACCGAATTGGAAATTTTGTTATATAGAAGATACTATTTCAAGTGGAACCTTTTTTTTTTTTTCTTTCATTCTTTTTAAAAAATTGTTCATTTTGAGACAGGATCTTGCTAAGTCCCTAAGTTGCCCTGGCTGGGGTCAAACTTGTGACCCTCCTGCCTTTGTCTTTTATTAGAGTACGGAGATTAAGAGTGAAGCACTGCGCTTGGTTTATGGAAGAGTTTTCAAAGTAAAAACATCATTTATTTAGTCAACTAGTTTTATTTTCTGTTATTTAATGTTTTAACTAAGGTTGACTTGTTGCTCTTTCCTTTTTAGAGCAAAGAAGACAAAAATTTAAGGAACATCTGTTAAAACGAAAATCACTTTTGACATACAAACAGGAAAATCAGATTTCCAGGTGAGGTCAGATTTTCTTCATTTCAGTTCTGGAAAATTATAGCTTTACAGTAAAAACATATACCACATCTGTGACTTAAATATCATTTAATCCATTATATTCCTGATGTTATTTCAGTATGTAAGTCATGGAGATGTAGCCCAGTGGTTGAACACTTACCTAGCGTGCTGAAGGCCCTAAGTTCAATCCCCAGCATCACAAAAAGAAAAAAGAAACATTAAGATTTTTTGCATTTGTTTCTGTTTACCTACTTTTTTTTCTTTTTTAATGTTTGTTTCTGATACAACGTCTTCAAAATCTGGTGGGCATTTTACACCCTGATTTTGGAGCATCACTTGATCATTGTTTTCTTTCTTTTCTTTTTTTTTTTTTTTTTTTTTTTTTTTTTTTTTTTTTTTTGGTACCAGGGATCAAACTTGGGCCCTTGCGCTTGTGAAGCAGGTGGAACCACTGAGCTAAATCCCCAACCCAATCATTGTTTTCAATGTTTGCAATCATAAATATTGCAAAGCATCTTAAGAGTTATAAGAAGCCATCATTCAAAACACATACTACAGGGCCACAGAGCCGGGGATTTAGATCAGTGGTTCCTCTGCCTGCATCGCAAGGGCAAAGGCAAGGGCCTGAGTTCAATCCCCAGTACCAAAAAAACCAAAAAACAGCAACAACAAAATACATAATACAAGGCCAGATGTGGTAGCATATGACTGTAATCCTAGCACTTTGGAGACTGAAGCCAGAGAATAACTGAAAGTTTGAGACCAGCCTGGGCTCCATAGTGAGTTCAAGACCAGTCTGAACTACATAGTGAGAACCTGTCTCGAAAAGAAGTATGTACAAGCTGTGTCAAAATTCTATTGCTTTTCTAAGCTGACTGAGAAAATGTATGTGGAAGGCAATGTAACAACAATTACCAAACATAAAAATACCAATGTTTTTCAATTCTAACATGAATAACTTTTTCATATTTTAACATTATTTCTGAATTTGGGAATATGTCCTAAAATAGATGACATGTATAATTGACTTATTTTTTTTCTTTTTGATTTTATACAGAATCATTACAGTCACTTACTGTAATATTCTCATGGCCTGTACTGGATAGCTGTATAATGGATTTAGGTTAACATATTTTATAGGGAGGAAATACTGATTTTAAGAAAAGATCTTTTAGGGCCGGGGATTTAGCTAAGTGGTTCCACTGCCTGCCTCGCAAGCACAAGGACCAGAGTTCGATCCCTGGTACCAAAAAAAAAAAAAAAGAAAGAAAGAAAGAAAAAGAAAAGAAAAGATCTTTTAAGTGCCTCCACCAACTTGTTTCTACTGTTAAATCACACTACAATAAAATTTTGCTTAGGACACATAAATCTCAACTTGTTTCTTTTTGGGGGGGTACCGGGGGTTGAACTTGGGTCCTTGAAGTCTAGAGTTATATCGCTTTTCGGCCTTTTGGCTAAGATCAAGTGTACATTCTAGAGTTATGAGGCTAGGGATGTACTTCAGTAATGAACAGGTACTCAGCATGCATAGATGCTAGGTTTTATCCCAGGAGCACATACAAAATTATGTTAATTAATAGTTAATATTCCCTCCCCCCAAAAAGAAACCTCTCTGGTATAGGATTAATTTATTTTATTTTATTTTTTTAAGTAATAGAGTGATGACATCTGAAGACCAGGTCCAACAAGGGACAAAACTTCTGAAACGTAAAACAAAAATGGTGAGATGAGAACATAGCGCTCCTAGACTGCGCTCCTTTTCCCCATTCCCTTCCTAAGCTCTTTCTGAGAGAAATGTGTTCTGAATTACTGATTTGTATTTTAGGCTGATAAAGAAAATATCAGAAGACATTCAGAAAGCACAAATACAATGGAAAAGAATTGTATTCTCTTAAAGGCTTCTAATGAATTAACTAATTCTACTACCACAACTGAAACACATAATTTTGAGAATGATAATCAGACTCTGCAGTTGTTACCAATTAAAAATGATTCCCAAAGTCAAAATGTGACATTAAGCCAGGCATTTCATCATAGAAATAATGGTAAAAAGAAACAGATGACTGCAGAAAAACCAAAGCAAGATGCTAGCATATTCAAGAAACCTGTGCTAGGATGTTATCGTGGCCAAATTGTTCAGTCTAAAGTAAATTCATTCAGAAAACCTCTACAAGTCAAAGATGAGCATTTTGCAACAACAAAGAAACTTTCAACTACTGTCTCTAAAGGCACAAAGTCTAAGTGTATGAACACCAGCAGTGTAACAATACAAAGTGATAGAGCCCCAAATACGACCACTACCACTAAATTTATGGGCACTACATCTCAGAACACACAACTTGCACGGCCTCCCATTAGAAGCCACAGTAACAACCAGAACAGGGTAAAACAAGACATCAACAGAACCTCTGCCAATGTCACATTCCAAAAAAGGCCTTCTGAAAAAGAACTATTACAATCAAAAATAGATCTGTCTAGTGTCAAAACCAGTTCCCAGGACACAAAAAGTAAGCCGTTACAGTCAAAATCAGTTCTACCTTGTGTCAAAACCACTTCTCAGGACATAAAAAGAAGTAAGGCATTATTCCAAAACATATCATCTGAACCTGTAGCCAGACCACTTTCATTTGCTGTGACTAAAGTGACAGAAAAGTCAGAAGCCATTGACCAGCGAAGACATACCATAGCAAAAACCACTGTGGATAGATCAGCTCAGCCCAAGGAAACTGCAGAAGAGAGAAGGTGAGTAAAGCTCCTTTATTTACTTCATTAGAGTACCGTTTGTGGTTTGGGCTTGTAATTTTCTTTAATGTATTATTTTCATGAATTATTTTCTGTTATGTGCATGCAAATTAATGACCAAAAAAGTAAATGTGTCTTCGTGTGGCTTCTTGGTTGCTTTTGGTAATGTAAGTTAAATGCTTCATAATAATTGGGAAATATTTTATAACCACCCCTTTTGAAAAAATGCATTCTTGGGATTTTTTAATATATAAATGATCTTGTGAGTGTTTGAGATTTGTTTTCAAAAAATTGTGAATAGTATCTGCAGAACTACTTAAAGACTCAAAATATTTTTTCCTTTGACCGAACTGTTATCAGTGTCAAAGTAATGTTTCTATACTGCTTCTGACTGCAGAGCTCGTCTGAGTGAGTGGAGAGCCAGCAAAGGAAGAGTGCTGAGGAGGCCTCCTACCTCAGTCGTTACGCAGCCTGAGCCGGAGAGACAAAATGAAACTCCAGTTAGGTCCTTTTGGACTACCATGGCAGAAGAGGATGAACAAAGATTATTTACTGACAAAGTCAACAGGACATTTTCTGAATGCCTGAATCTGATTAATAAGGTAGCATCTTGCCCTTATACTGGTGCAGCATTTTACAGTGTGCAATTATCTCCATAAATATTCTCATTAAATTATATTATTCTTTTTGACCAAATAATGTCAGTGATATGATGTTGACTTAATTCTATGAGATTTGTTAGTCTAGTTTCATTTTGCATTGAGTTCACTTAAATATATCAGAGGGATCATAGTTTTTTTTACTTGAGTTATGAATATTGTATTCCTCGTAGATGTTAATATCCAGTAAACTGGTGTAGATATTTTTTCTATCTGGTATTTCTATTTCTAGCTTTTTCTCAACACTTTTACTAATTATTTTTTACCAAAGACTAGCAACAAAAAAAATTACTATTAAGAATAATCCCAGCACTGGGGAGGCTGAGGCAGGAGGATCGCTGTGAGTTTGAGACCAGCCTGGGCAACATAGTGAGTTCCAGGTCAGTCTCAACTACATAGTGAGACCCTGTCTCAAAAAACCAAAAAAACAAAGAATAATCATTAGGGCTGGGGATTTAGCTCAGTGGTGCTGCCACCTGCCTTGCAAGCACAGGGATCTGAGTTTGATCTCCAGTACCAAAACAAAAAAATAATAATAATAATCTTTATAGTTGGGGATGTAGCTCAGTGGCCCCACACCTGCCTGGCAAGTGCAAAGTCCTCAGTTCAAATCCCAGTACCAGGAAAAAAAAAAAAGAATAATCATTATCACAGTCCATCACAGATTCAAGTTATCTAAAATATTTTCAAACAAAATCCCATTAATCTACAAGTACTGCACACTAACTGATTGCACCACTGGAGCACCCTAAATCCCATTAATTTAAACAAACATTATGCTGGTCTTGAATTTATTATACAATTTTTATATTATGAATCCTCTTGGGTATAATAATCAATTCTAGAATATTTCTTGCCAACTCTTTATTCTTCCTTTGGACACTCCCTGATGTCTAAGATCCATAGCAAGACTGAATACAGGGGCTGGGGATTTAGCTCAGTGCTTCTGCTGCCTGCTTACCTCGCAAGTGCAAGGTCCTGCATTTGATCCCTGGTACCAAAA